TCTCTGGCAACGGCATCACAATCTTCCCGATCTGAGCTCATCACTTCCCCAAAACATCTTGTTGTCTGGCTCCAGTTTTCTCATTTTACCGGAAGGGTCGGCGCCGCTCGTGAACAATAATGATCTAGGAGCAGAGTCGCTGTGGTACTTATTTCTGGTGGTGATATCAGCTGAGACGTGATTCATTCCACAGGCCTCGTAGAGAAGAAAGTCAAGTCGAAAGACCTCGTGCGCGCTGAGCGATGCTCGATTTAACGCCGGAGGAACAACAGACCCGGAAGGGAAACATTGAGCGGTGACCACAGCTGGAGTGTCGGACACAAGGGGGGAATTCTGGGTTCTTATCTCTTCCCGTTGGTTGAAATTAGTAAAAGTTGTATCGGAAAACTTTAGGCCCTCCAGGAGGAAGTAAGAGAAACCTCCCGCCCTTCCTCAGCTGTTTGAAGCTCTCATCGCCTCGCCCCCTTTCCTCTTCCACATCCTTCATCCTCTCCACGCGAGGAGACTTCAGCCGGTATATAATATACCTCACTTCAGTTACCAGCCGAGTTCGCTGTCTCTCGTATCGGTAAAACAGCGGACATATCATGTGAATGTAACACTGCGTCGTTCCTCTACAAGATTATAAGCTGGAGTGTATCGTCGCTCATGCTGACATCGTCCATAACCCACGCCTAGTAGCTCATAGCGCCTTGGTGTAATGTATCACGTACTTGGCTTCTTGTACCAGCGACCCATTGCTTGTCTTCACGTCATTGCCAGTAGCGTCGCTCGACGACTTCTAATGCGGCCGATTGTCACCAGAGCCGAATTCCTAGTCCTGTTACCTCCTCCCTTCGGAGGATCAAAATCCAAAGCCATCAACCCTTGAACCAATCGCCCTGCGACCCCACCATACCCCGCTGCAACGGTGATGACCATTGCGACCGCAGGAAAGCATACTCTGCCTTTATCACTAACGTAATTCCCATGACCTGGTGATGACATGGTACGCAAGCGCATCGGCTGGAGTCCGTCCGCTTATCCGTGCATCGAAAATGGAAACATGCTCGCCGCCGCACGAGTATATGTGTTCGCATCCTGTAATAGATACTAACTCGTATAGTCAACTGGCTCGCGATTACGCTCAAGTCGCGCCCGCCGCCCCTACCAATCCGCGAGCCGTCGCCTGCCGAAGGTCCTGTTCCTCGACAGAATCAAGCTAGAACTACCGTCGACCGTGACAGGGAAAACATTTGTACAGTTACGACTGATAGAACGCCATTTTATCCAAAACTCATATAGTAGCTATCAACGAACACGCTGATTCTCCAGTGACGGAAACGACAGTTGCACACAGACGTTGCTCCTGCTCGGGAAGAGTTAACCTCCACCACGTTGTGAACTTAACAATGCTCTTCCAGAAACATTTGTGATTTCTCGTTCGCACTGTTTCACTGCCTTGGATTCCAATGGCAAACAAAGAGTCATGTTGGCCTAACAGACATTTAAAAGATCCTTCAAGCACTCAAGAATTCACCTGTGAAGATGTTCCCACTTCAGGACATGTCCATCCGAGTTAAACCTTCGACCATACTTCCGACCCAACCTGTGTTTCACCTGAAACTGCTAGCGAATTTAATTTCATCACTCAGAGAACCGTCAGCCGGGAGATTTGAAATACATTGAGATTTTGTTTTTTGGTTCTTTTAAAACCACAAAAATATTCTTCTTATGAGGCAAACACGTCAAATAAAACGCAGGGAAGAGGAAACCAATGGACATTTAAACTTTCCTTTAACTGTTGTCATTATAGATCTTTCTGAACACACACTTACACTGTTCGCATGTGAAATAAGCAAACAGGGAATAATCTGAATTTGTTTAATCCAGTCGATGCGTAATTAAGTACTCATCACACTTATGAAGAGATCACACAAAAATCCAACATGGCCTTTGAGGAGTTCCTGCCTCATTGGTATGACAACGCTGACGCAATAACAAGACTTGACGTGTGCCTTAAGAGTCGACTGAACTATTATAAGGATCCATCGATAAGGCCATTAAAATCCGAGTAACGTTAGATGCGGCACTCGTGCATACTACAGTCCTGTGGACATTGTCTCGTGGGCAGCAACAGAGCTGGGTGTGTAAAGTCGGGCTTACCCGTCACCACACTCCCACCTTATCTGTTGGGCCTTTGCACCAAAACAAAAAACTGTTGGGGGGAGGGGACAGCCATAATCAGCAGAGAGCTGAGAGCAGATTCTCATGGCCTCCTCCCTTCCAGAGTTCACCACAGCGAGTCGAGGCGGCCGAGGCAATCTGGCCTCAGACACATAACCATAGACGCAGGACACACACCCTTCCCACAACAAACCCAGATTACGCATGCGTCGTCAGCCCAATCGACTGTCAAGAAAAGCTCGCAGACACTTCTTGTCGCAGACAGTAGGTAAAATATCATCTCCTGTACTCGGTTCGGCGCCGCCTCCACGGCGGTGCAGCGAACGAGCTGCCGTGTCTTTTAAACTCCCGACTGCTTGGTGTTAAAAGTTCACCTGAGGCTCCACGAGAATCAAAACCACTATAATTCAAGCAGTCGGAGTTTGTGGCGCTCGTATAATTGAATGACGTTGAGCGCTGAGATCATAACTTTTCATTTACCTGAGAAATGACGGACGCCCACAGGAAATAAAACAGGGCAACAATGAGGGGTTTTATCGACCCGAGTTGAACTTTCAGATTCTTTCTCTCCTCACGAGTTCAGAGCAAAACTCTCCCTTTCAGATTTCAAATTTCGAGCAACAAACTGCGATCCTCATGATGATAAGAGGATTGAGTGTAAATTGAAATTATAGTCAAAGAATAAATGAGTTACGTTATAATACGTCGTGATAGTCCGTGTCGAGTGCATGGGAGCCTTGACGTCCGTCAACACACATGGCTGAGCACTCGACATAATCTAAGGAGGCGTGATATCGTTTAAACACGGTGACTGAGATATGCATCTGAGGTTGTTAAACAGGAACACACAACAAGTGAGATTAGTGTATATAAGGCGATGATAGTGAGAGAGTTACGGAGTCACCTGGCTCCGCTCGTCACCTCCAGCACAGCTTGCTAGTGAAGTGGGCGGGAATATCAGAACTAGACAGTTGAAACAGCTCCACTCGGTGACGTCAGGAGGATGTTGTCAGAGCGGGGTTTCCTGAAGCTGCGTGGACCGTCTGTAACCAGCGGCGCTGACGGAGGAGATACTTACACCTCAAGACTGTTAATTCACTGACACTGAGTCTGTCTTGATACCTTCTGTGTCGAGCAAAGAGCCAATCCACGGCTTGAACCTTTTCTAATGTAATAAACAACATTTTAATGGGATGATGCGGTGTCTGTGTGTGTTGTGTGTGTTGGTGTGTGTGTGAGTCTCAACCTGCGATTCCCTTGCACAGCAGTCCACACACATGTGAAGTGCTCTTCTTCATGATGCTTTGGAAGCACCATTGGTGAAGACCGAGAGAATGAAACGCCACGACGCCACACAGCAGCAGGATCCTGCGCCAGGAAGATAGAAGTAAGCCTGCCAGAACCCGCTGGCAATCTCTCTCAAAGTGTATCGCGACGGTCCGCAACAGACCCCACGCGCGCAGGTTGGGGGCAGTTTTATACAGCGGCCGAATCCCTAAAGTGGGCCTGTAGGCCTCTCCGGCTGCGGGGGCCCCATGGGGGCGAAGACAGGCGTCTGAGCGGCGGGGGAATCCCACCAGCCAGTCAGTTGCTCTATTGAGGCGGATTGAGCCTTCTCGAGAACGCCGCCACGATGCTCAAGCAGAGTCCATCAGCATGTGAGCGGCCAGGTGACAATCACATGGCACATTGCTGACGTGTGGACTGATCTCCGCTCGCGTGCATGACTGGCTGAGAGCGTAACAGGTTATCCGTCTCCGCGGGAAGGTTGCGAGTGACTTGAAAAGACTTCACAGGAGCGGCAGCCTATATCACCGGAGGAAGGTAAGCTCAGTGATAAGTGCAAACCGTATATCACTAACCGTAACGTCGAATGCATATCAAAGGTCTTGTCAGTCCTCTCTCCTAGCTCTATCTTCAGCCCTTTTCTTCCTCCTCCTTGAAGCTCTCCCTCCTTCTGTCGCTCGGTGGCTCTGCACTCTGATTTCTGTCTGCTGCTCGGTTTCTACATTGTATTGAAGTCGTGTCTCCTGAGCAGCCCAGCTGTGCCGTCACATCAGGACACACCTACGATATAAGAAACAGAGCGACAAAGAACAGGCGTGAGGGCTTTAATCTGCATGCTACTAAAAAAAGTAACTGCGTGTGTCAGGGGATGATCATGATTCTTTCTCAGGAGCAGAAGTGTTGGAGAAGGGGGAAAGTGCTGGCAGGAGGAGCAGTACGACGGAGATCGTCCTGTGAGATGTTTAGGAGGGGTGCGCTCTCAATGCCACTTGGTGGTCCCGAACTGCTGCCCGGGATTGTTCTTTGAAGTGCGGGGAACCTCTCTCGTTCCAGTGTTTAATGTTTATAAAGATGTGTAGATTAGATACTCGACTGAACTCTCTCGTCCCGGTGGGAGCTTCATGACTCGAGGTGGTAAAAATATAAAACAGCTGAAACAGAAATGTAACGTGCATGTCTTGCCTTTGGGCCGTGTGTGTGTGTATGTGTTCGTGTTGAGAATCTCGGGAGAGGCATTAACATGTAGCGACACTGTCGGAAGAAACCGGCGATAGCCAAATGAGAAACGGATGCGAGACAGAGAAGAAAAACAAAGCCTGTAGGCCTCTCTCAAGCAGCAACACAGAGCTAGACCTACGGTCAAGCCAACGGCTTGTGATAAACTACAACGGCGCTCCGGTGCCAATCTAACATACTACTCTT